TTTTTCAAAATTTGAATTTTGTGGGGGCAAAGATATGCATTATACCGCATATAGTTTTTTAAATTTTAGATTTTACATTAAAGTATGTTTTGCTTGTATTTTATTTTTTAAAGTCAACGTTAAAACACGTACCTTCTGGTTAAACTACCTGTGTTATGCTTTGAGCTGTAAGTATAATCATTTAAATTTCTATCAAAGATGTTATTGTTCTGTCTATAAAATGAATTCATGAAAACACGATTATTGAAGACTATAAAGATCCCACTCACTGTTACAGAGGGCTTTATACAGATACACGTCCCACAACCATCTTTTCCTGCTTCCCCAATATTGTAGTTTGATCTGCACCTTTCCTGACAAACCTGTTCTGTTCTGCACTCTTTTGGCGGCGCTACGACGTACGTAGTTTGAGTGTTCTTTCTTGTTGATACACCAATAGAGGATCGGATCGCACTGTTGCTTCCACCACCACCCATAAAACTGCATCCGCCAATGGTAGAAGTCACACCACTAACATCTGTGGATCCGCCACCAGAAATACTACATACCTTGTAAGGACTCGAACCTCAATTGAATCCGCCACCAGCTCCCATTGATGCACCACCTTTACCAGATCCACCACTCTTAGATCCTGGATATATATATTGTAAATTGATTAAGACAACAATGTTCATTTGCATTCAAATATTCTGAATTAGACAAAATTTTCTTAAGTTAAGGAACTGATTTAATATTTTCTTTTAACTGTAAAGTGAGGAAAAAAAAAAAACTATTTGATTTTCATTTCAACCTATCTAACTTATATTTAGTCCTTTTTTAAAATGAAAAATAAAGCCGTGTTCCAATTTATTTACTGAATAAAAGATTAAAATAAACATGTGTACAGGGCATTAATAATAATTGACAATATTTAAATGAATTAAAGAAAAGCAAGAAAGGCATCCATCAGATCCTACGGGGACCATAGTGTATTGTCTTTGACATGTTGATTTGCATAGCTCCACCCCCATACAGTCCACCTTTGTCTTCATTCCTTGATTGACATGTGAAAATGAGGCTCCGCCCATTGAAGGCATTTCAGATATAAAGGATCCGCCTGATATCCCCATCATAAGGCCCCCTAATTAGAATTTTTATATTATATTACAATAAATCTTTACTCCATCCCCTAATTATAATATTCATGTTTTATTACGGTAGACCTTTACTCCGCCCACAACTTTTATTGTTTACATTTTATCAGCATTCTCGTTTAAAGTATAATTCCGTATATGTATGTTCTAAGGTCGATATGATGACCTTGTCATTAACTACAATTTATCAATGAGTCAAATGCTGACTGACGTTATTCATCCTTATTGTTATTCCGTTATTTATACGCTAAATTGACGACGGATTTCTGTCCATTTTTTCCAAATCATGACAAGGAGCACACGGCGGGTGTGACCAGTCGACATGGGATGCTAACTTCCCCATGGCACATGATTTAATCTCAGTTTTGGAAATCAGTGTTTGCTCTGCTCCTCAGTAGGCTGTCTAAGTTTATACTGTAGATGATTTTCCGATGATTTTCTAAGATTGTACTATTGATGATTTACTGGTTGTCCGAGTTTGTCCTGTAGGTGACTTACCAGTTCTTTAAGTTTGTATGGAAGGTCCTTACTAGTTGTCTAGGTCTTTCATATAGAGTTGGATAAATTGAAATACATATTTCCTAAATTTAATGACGCAGGTCTAATTACTTCTTACAGAAAGACACCTAACGATTGAAAAATATAATTATGTGAACGGAGCAAATAGGTAAAAATCATGTTCTTTATATTGTTAAAATTAAATTAAAAAGTGCTATAAAATTTGTGCACAAAATTTTTTACAGCAAAACTCGGTAATAACGAAGTCAAAGGGAACGGACCTATGAAATTACTTTGCTAAATCTGTAATTAATTGTAACCGTATAGTAGATTTATTAAAATTATATAGCTAGAGATCCAAGATGACTTCGCTATATCCGTTAATTCGCAATTTCCATGTTCGCATTGAACGAGTTTTGCTGTGTGTGTGTTTTGAAAAAGAATAAGTAACATTCACTACCAAAATATATCAGTGTCAAAGATTATTGACACATTGAATAAGCGCTGAAGCAATCTAAAAAAAGTGAAAACATCAAACCTTTGGTTTGAGTCGAAGTGAACCACTGTTACTAGACGACTGTCTCTTGGGAACCTAAAGAAGCAGAAGTGGTCATTCCTGATCCAACATATTGCCAACAAACTGAAAAGTTATTTGGCCGAGAAAATGTATAATAACAAATTTTAACATTAGTCATTATGCCACTTTGTAAAACTACTGAAAAAATTAAAATTATGACCAACTTATTAATTTGGAAATCTTAAACCTAATTTCTAATTTAATGAGACCGTTCACGGTAGCTCAGTCGATAGAGCGCTCGCTTCGTGGTCGGGAGGTTGTCAGTTCGAATCTCGGCCGCGACTGACCTCAGTCGATGAAAAATGGGTAACAGCTGTTCCTTCGCCATGCGCTCAGCACTTTGTAGTGAAAGGTTTGGGTCCTTTAGATGAGATCCTTAACTGCTCAATGACCCTGCGTACCGAGTAAAGGTCAAAATATGAGGCCCTTCATAGGCATACGATGACGTCTCCATATGAGCGAAAAATTCTCGAGAGGGACGTTAAACAATATACAATCAATCAATTTAATTTTATGAAAGTCAGTAAGCATATACAAGAGCAGGTATATCCAATGACGGCTTATTTATGTTTAGGAAGAAAAGAGGCGCATGCTGGAGTCAAAACTCACAAAATCCGAACAAACGTAGTATGTTGATGTAATAAAAATGTTTGTGTAAAATACATGTACAACCAAATAGACACAAAAAAAATTATGTTAACTAATTCTAGAAGATCAATAAAAAGTTATTTGTTCATTGATATCAATATGTGTAAGATCATGTATTAAAGTGTTTATTAAATTGTTTTAAAATAAATAAAAGAAAATAATTGCATTTTGAACATAGATTAAGAGATTTATAGATTATGTTGAACTGTTGATGTATTGTCAAGATATATTTCAATACATGTATTTATAGATTATGCTGATCTGTTGATGAATTGTGAATGGTTGTAATATTTATTGATGCACAGTAGGGCGGTCCTACAGCAGTCCCAGAGCTGTCCCACAGCAGTCCCAGCGGTCCCAGAGAGCTGTCTCAGCAGTCAAAGAAAGCAGTCCAAGTATGGGCTGGGTTTATTAATTTAATGGGCGAAGCTAACTCAGAAATGAGATTTGCAATAAACAGTGGAACTATAAAAGGCAGTAATTGTTCTTATAAAATGAGATAATTGTATTGTGAACATCGATTAAGATATTTATAGATTATGTTGAAATATATTGTCAACGATGATTTTAATATTTGCAAATTATTCTGAACTGTTCAGACTATATCTAATAGAGTATCGAGGACAGTTTCCTTCTTATTCAACCTTTCATAATTTCAGATGCACGAGTACCTATTCTGTACAATATCGAATTTGACATTTTCATTTCCAGCAGTGCACAAACAACTCATTTTGTTGAAGAGCAAAAGATTCCCTAGATGCATTAATACAGGCTGGTTGTACTTGGAAACGGTGCAGTGATGTAATTTTTTTTTTACAAATCTCATTGACCACACTTGATGGTAGTGCATGTACCTTGAGGTCGCCTCCACGAAGCTTATGCCAGACCAAGAGAACAAACATACTGAATGCAATTTGACGAAATACCATTCTTTGTTTCATTATTGATTTTATATTTTTTTTATTTTGTTATATTTACATTTCCAAATATCTTTCTTAGATTATCTTTCCATTGAAGAGAAAATATGTTAAATTCTGTGTAAATGTAATAACGCGATCGTTTCACAGAGGGAGATGATATTTTGTCTACATATTTCTGTCACGGTGCAACTTGTTTTGAAATGTTTCGAACTTAATAACGAAGAAAAAGATAAAATGATAAACAATATCGATATTTTCCAATCACGACATTTAAAAAAAACAACATTTCTTTATATGAATAAACTTTTGAAAACTATAGATTGGCCTAAAACCATACTCCCTTTTGAACCTGAAATTGCTGTGGAGATAGGTAAACAAAAACAGGCATTATCGCAGCTTTAGACCTCGAATATTGTTAACTAATGAAATAGATTATTCTCAGCAGCAATCATTGATCTTTCACTATATACAGGTATTTTATAAATACAGCTGATCTTACATTTACGTAACATTCATGTTATCACTATTGCTTCTAGCAGACAAGGCCCTTAACCATTACTTGTTCCTTATACATACTTAAGTAGAGCGTGGCGAGTTATCGTCCTTACTTAAGTATTGAGAGACATTCTGCACAATTTATACAATGCATCATTTCATAAAAGAGGGTTTTGAATTATATCTTGTGTCAGGAAGTAAGTCATCAGTTTGACTTATAAGATAAGTTCAGGTACACCTGGAAGGGAAAAAGATTAATACTATCTGGCATTAATAGATGATGATATACATTATAATCTAGTTTAAAGTGTATACTCACAGAGGCAAATAAAAATATAAATAAAGACAAATGGAAAAGACAATATATATTTAATAAATATTATAGAGTTGAAAAAAAAAACTTTAATGATTTTTTTTTCCAAAACAAAACAAAAATTACGACTGGAAATTTCTTCATCAATTGAGTCATCCTGATAAACAAGTTTTTTTTTTTTAGAATTATCTATCATTTTCTTTGAGTATTATCTTCTACTTGCTCCGCTCTGTCAAAAACAGGAAATAAGGCTTTTGTTCACAAAATGTAGTGTGATTTTTGTTTAAGTATATGAGTCACAGGAAAATATTTATGATGATATACATACCAGATATTGCTTGTCAACGGTCCAAAATACTTGACGTAGAAATTAACGGATATTCACACTTATACTTTATGAAACGAGGCGATGAACTTACATGAGGAAACATACTGTTGAATATTGCTTCATATTGCACTCTGGCTTGCAAACAATATCCATATAAATGACTATTTGATTTGTTCCTGGCATGCGCAATTTCAGCTTTATACAAGGAAGGACTCTAGGATCTAAAAATGTGATGCCTACTAATTACACAAAGGAAAATAAGTGATTCTAAACAATCAAGAGAGTGGTGAGTAGAACTTATTGTGCAATCTATAGAAAATGTTCTGCAGTGTGTGCCTTTGGTGCCTTTTGTTTCACGAAATATAACATTGTTTAATAATATAGTATTATATTAAGGACATTGGCAAGTCACGGTTATCCGGAGAACAAAAGGCTTATATCATGGGTTTATTCACTTAGAAAACTGTGATTGAGAGTGATCTCCCGTGTAGAGTTCTCTATGAAATGAAAACCAAAAAACCGTATTTTACGTAGGTAAACAAAAGCACATGTGCTTTCCTACAGCAAGAAAGAAAAGCGGTGATTGTTTTGTTGTACATTGTGTTCAGGGACAGACAGTAAACAGTGGTCAGCAGACCGTTATTTCAATGCTGGAAAGGACAATTACAAGATATGACAACTGCCGAGAACCTGTTACTGAATGAGATCGTGCGAAGGAGGCACCATTTAGAATTTTATAAGAAATTTAAGCCAATATTTTTTTATGAAAATTTGTTTCCAATATGGTAAATTACTTAACATAAATAGCCAAACAGTCTTTACCATTCTGAATAAGGGAAGTAACTCTAAAATAATGAACGGTATTGGTAGATCTGTGTCATGTTTCTAAATTTGTGTTTAAGTCATGATATCTAGATATAATTGGAAATGAGAATACAATAAGGTATATTATATATACACTTTCTGAAATGACTGGATTTTGGAAAAAAAATTATAGTTAAAAATTTTGTAGGTCCTTTTTTTCAACATTTTACATAGGAAATGCATTGAGAATTGTAAAAACATTGATTGGACAAAATCTCATAAGGAAGGGTGGCTTGGGTGGTTAAATGTACCAAAATATAACGTGTTAATTATCATTACACCTGTTCAAGAGTTTTTGAAAAAATCTATGCAAATGCCAGGAACCTTGCCAATGTCCTTAAATAATTAAAAACTAGAGGCATTGTGAGCAATGAATTCATTAAATGATACCCCCGCCTCCTATATGACTATATTGGAAAAGTCCATGTTTTGTTGTGGCCAGGAAACCCAAACTATGTGTCGGATAAAAAAGTAAAATAGGAGGTGAACAATGGCAATATGTAAACAAAGATTCTGTGAAAGTTTCATTGAATTTCACTCAGTGGTATAAGAGAAATTGAGGATAAGAGATGGGTACCCCAATGTGTAATGACGGATGGACATATCGATAGCTATATACCCTCCCACTTCTCAAGCAAAATAACGGTTTAATTATCCAGACACATCGTAAATATTTATAGGACCCTGGAATTTAAGCATACTATAGTAAATACGTTTTGGAAGATCTTAACATTTGGTTTGTTTTATCTTTAGACATTTGTTCAAAACTCCCTTTACTTCAGCAATATACCATCATCACTTGCATACGGAGTGTATACATGTATATCTCAGTTGATTCGATACGCAAGTGCATGCTCTACGTATGAACAATTTCTTTATTGAGATAAATTATTGACAAGCAAATTGATGAAACAAGAATATCAGCTGTCTCGTTAAAAGACATCATTTCGAAAATTCTATGGTCAATACAATGACCTTATCGGCAAATACAATGTATTTTTTGTATTACAATGTATCCTTGAGTCAAATGCTGACTGACGTTTTTCAAACAAATCGTTTGTCCATTTATACACTAAATTTTTTTTCCGCTATTTCACGATCATGACAAGGAGCTCACGGCGGATATGACTGGTCAGCAGGAGATGCTCACTCCTCCATGGTATTTGATTCCACTTCTGATGATTCGGTGGTCAGTGCTTGCTCTTCACCTATTTTGTATTGTTTTATGGAATTTGATATAGAATACTAATGGAACTTAAATACGTCCCTGAGACAAGAGTTGTTTATCACTTAGAAATTTAAGATGTTTACTGAAAAACACATGTGAAGCAAAAATAATAATAATAATAATTATTATTATAAATAAATAAATAAATCATGACGTTATGAGAGACGTAAATTACGCTTGCTTTTGTGTGCCGATGTACACGTACACACTTTCTTCATTATTTTTTTTTTAAATTTTCTTTTTAATTGATATATCACAATGACACTTGAAATGCATGATCATCAAAGAACTTTTGCTATGAAAAGAAAAGGAATATAATTTATCAAAGATAGTCTGGTCCTGATTCTAAAAAAGAAGGCTAGAAATAACGTCTAACGGCGAAAAAATATTATTTGGTCCAGCATAGCTTTTTAACCTATTTCGAGTATGCTGAATCCAAAAAATATGTTGAACTTCATGAAAATGGCAGTAAAAATCTCAAAATGGCGGACATCCATTTTTTTTCTAATCTTATGTCGTTCAAAATGGAGAAGTAATGAGTGAATATCTCGCTGAGTGTAATTAAAATTACAACAAAATGATAACAGTATTAGATTAAGTAAGAAAGTTTAGTCGTTTCTTCACTTAATTCGAATTTTCTCTGATTTATTTGTCTATTGTTCTATTATATCTTCTTTGTTCAGGATTTTACATTTGCAAATATCCATACACAGCAGAATTGATTTACAATTTCATGTAAAAAGGTTTTAAAATATGACCATCAGGAAGTAAGTCATCAGTTATAAAGATAATTGTTCTAGCAATATAATTGGTACAAAACGATATACTGGACAGTATTAAACCGATGAAAAGGGAATATGTATATAATTTGTTTTGACTGTTAATTGTATTTTAAATGTTACTGAATGGTAAGTTCAGGTACACTTGAAGGGAAAAAAATTAATACTTATTGTCATAAATAGAGGATGATATACATTATAATCTAGTTAAGAGTGTATGCTGAAAGATGCAAATAAATATATAGATAAGGGAAAAGGAAAAGGAAAAGACAATATATGTAATGAATATTACGAAGAGTTGGAAAAACTTTTGTTAATATTGTTTAAAACAAAACAAAAATTACGACTGGATATTGCTTCATCAATTGAGTCATCCTCATAAACAAGTTTTTTTTTAGAATTATCTATCATCTTCTTTGAGAATTATCTTCTACTTGCTTCGCTCTGTCAAAAATAGGAAATGAGGCTTTGGTTAACAAGATGTAGTGTGCTTTTTGTTTAAGTGTTTGAGTCACATTGATTTACATACTAGATATTGCTTGTCAAATGTTCAAAATACTTGACGTAGAAAGTAACGGATGTTGACACTTATACGAGGGTTGTCCCGTAAAATCGTGGACAAAGCGTTTCTCTTCAAAAGTAATGGGCGCACAAGGCTGAACATTTCAGTAAATGTTTATTTATCATATTCAAGTTCATGATAATATTTTTTGATAAAATATAGGCAAAAATAAAGATTTTATTATGCTTGAATGTGCACGGGGTATTTTCCTACGGCGCACGGTAAAAAAAACCCATAGTTTTATTAAAGAATACACGAGTATGAATTCAAAATAAATGTTTTAAATACATAAGATTCGGATTGAAATTATACTAATTCAATTCCACAGTTAATTTTGTAGTCTGTGTAAAATTTTTAAGGTATTTGGTTAATTTTTGGCAGTTTCTCGAGCTATCGAAACAAGAAAGTGGTAAACACAACACACAAAAAATGGCGACGTTTTATGACGTTACGGCGCACCGGAGAGCAGTTCAGTTTTAATTTGATGTTGTAATGACACCTTTGGTAGAGACTTGAAATGACCATAGAAGAAAAAGATTATAAAAATATAACAATATCTTAGTATACAAATGAAATAGGAGTTTTCTTAGCGAAGTCTTTTTTGATCGAGTCCCTAGGGAGTACAAAACATACTGACAAACTCCTAATGTAATAGCAAAAGACGCTGTCACAGTAGACCGCCGATATGAGATAGTTGAATGATGATGAGAATATTGTCCGTAACTTACTTATAAATCTTCAGAAGATCGCATGAGGGTGCCAATTGTTTCTTCGACTGTTTATGGAGACTAAAGAATGTGTATCAATGAAATTCCAAAATTTAAGTCGGACTCATCCAACTTCATTTTCAGCAAAGGTAAAACGTGACGCTGTTTTAGACATTTTGACTTTAAAATCCATACGCCGTAAGGTGATACAATACATGAGATAAAATCTCATAATTTGTTTATTTATGTATATATTTATCTGAAATTTGCTGTTTATATTATTAAAATATGTACTAAATAATAGTGAAAATTTCAGAACACAGTGATGTTTATTTTTCGCACTAGACAACTTGTCCACGATATTACGGGACAACCCTCGTACATTATAACGAGGCGATGAACTTACATGAGGAAACACACTGACAAAAGAGTCTTTATTGCATCTTTCTGCATTCTGGTGTACAAACTTTTTTTTCAATATAAATTATATTTTTATTTGATCCAAGCATGCGCAATATGAGCTTTCTACAAGAACTGACTCTAGGATTAAAACAATGATGACACCATATAACAAAAAGGAAAATATGTTAAATTTCAAATCAATCAAGTGAGTGGTGAGTAGAACTTATGGTGCAATGTGTAAAAAATTTCCTTTCACGAAATACTATATAACAGTTTAACTATCCAGACACATCGTAAATATGTATAGGACCCTGAAATTTGAGCATACTATAGTAAATATGTTTTTTGAGGCTCTTAACATTTGATTTGGTATACATTTAAACATTTGTTCTGTCGTTAACTTACCTTCCCTAACATAAAAATACTATAGTTAAAGTTTTTCAAAGTATCAAAGTTTTCGCCAAAGTTTTTCAAAGTGTCAAAGTTTTCGCCAAAGTTTTTCAAAGTATCAAAGTTTTCGCCAAAGTTTTTCAAAGTATCAAAGTTTTCGCCAAAGTTTTTCAAAGTATCAAAGTTTTCGCCAAAGTTTTTCAAAGTATCAAAGTTTTCGCCAAAGTTTTTAAAAGTGTCAATGTTTTCACCAAAGTTTTTCAAGGTATCAAAGTTTTCGCCAAAGTTTTTCAAAGTATCAAAGTTTTCGATAAAGTTTTTCAAAGTATCAAAGTTTTTGTAAAAGTTTTTCAATGTGTCAAAGTTTTCGATAAGTTTTTTTAGAGTATAAAGGTATTCAATTAAGTTTTTCAAAGTATCCAAGTTTTCGATAAGGTTTTTCAAAGTGTCAAAGTTTTTGATAAACTTTTTTATAGTTTCAAAGTTTTCCATTAAGTTTTTCAAAGTTTTCAATAAAGTTTTCAAAGTGTTTAAGTTTTCGATAAAGTTTTTCAAAATGTAAAATTATCCAAGTTTTCAAAAAACTTTTTTTCAAATTATCAAAGTTTTTGATAAAGATTTTCAAATTGTCCAAGTTTTCGATAAAGTTTTTCAGAGTATAAAGTTCTTTAAGTGTAAAATATTTCGATAAACTTTTTCATAGTTTCACAGTTTCGATAAAAATTTTCAATTGTTAAATTATCCAAGTTTTCGATGAAGTTTTTCAAAGTGTCAAAGTTTTCAATAAAGTTTTTCAAAGTGTCAAAGTTTTCGATAAAGTGTTTCAAAGTGTCAAAGTTTTCGATAAAGTGTTTCAAAGTGTCAAAGTTTTCGATAAATTTTTTCAAAGTGTCAAAGTTTTCGCTAAAGTTTTTCAAAGTGTCAAAGTTTTCGCCAAAGTGTCAAAGTTTTCGCTAAAGTTTTTCAAAGTATCAAAGTTTTCAACAAAGTTTTTCAAAGTGTCAAAGTTTTCGCCAAAGTTTTTCAAAGTGTCAAAGTTTTCGCCAAAGTTTTTCAAAGTGTCAAAGTTTTCACCAAAGTTTTTCAAAGTGTCAAAGTTTTCGTCAAAGTTTTTCAAAGTGTCAAAGTTTTCGCCAAAGTTTTTCAAAGTTTCAAAGTTTTCGCCAAAGTTTTTCAAAGCATCAAAGTTTTCGCCAAAGTTTTTCAAAGTATCAAAGTTTTCGCCAAAGTTTTTCAAAGTATCAAAGTTTTCGCCAAAGTTTTTCAAAGTATCAAAGTTTTCGCCAAAGTTTTTCAAAGTATCAAAGTTTTCGCCAAAGTTTTTCAAAGTGTCAAAGTTTTCGCCAAAGTTTTTCAAAGTATCAAAGTTTTCGCCAAAGTTTTTCAAAGTATCAAAGTTTTCGCCAAAGTTTTTCAAAGTATCAAAGTTTTCGCCAAAGTTTTTCAAAGTATCAAAGTTTTCGCCAAAGTTTTTCAAAGTGTCAAAGTTTTCGCCAAAGTTTTTCAAAGTATCAAAGTTTTCGTCAAAGTTTTTCAAAGTATCAAAGTTATCACTATAGTAAATCAAAGTTTTCAAAGTGTCAAAGTTATAACTATAGTAAACTATAGTAAACTATAGTTAACTATAGATAACTATAGTATTTTTTTGTTAGGGTTACTTATGCAGCAATCTACCATCATCACCTGCATAGGGAGTGTATTTATCTCAGTTGATTCGATACACAAGAGCATGCCCTACGTTTGAACAATTTCTTTATCTATATTAGATATTGACAAGCAAGCTGATGAAACAAGAAAATCAGTTACCTCATTTAAAGTCATCATTTGGAAAAAAAATATGGTCGATACATGTACACTGATATTATCAATAAATACAATTTATCATTGAGTCAAATGCTGACTGAAGTTCTTCAAACTAATTGTTTGTCCATTATTCATACACTAACATGACGACGGATTTTCCGTTAATTCACGATCATAACAAGGAGCACACGGGGGAGGTGAATGGTCAGCAGTGGAAACTCACTCCCCCATGACATTGTCCCACCTCTGATTTTTCAGAGGTCTGTGTTTGCTCTGCTTCTATTGTGTCTTGTTTTATGGACTTTGATATTGACTATTGTTCGTTATCTCCATTTCTTTCTTAAAGAAAGCACTTTAGAGGTTAAAAAGACTTTTGTATAAACTTTCAGTGTAGCCTAAATGTAACATCATAAATGTAAAAATGTAAATAAAATTCTTGCGCAAATGGACAAATCCTTTTATTCTGTTTATCTGACTATTTTAAAATCAAATATTAAATACCCCCCCCCCTCCAAAAAAAACAAAAAAAAAACGTGAAACAGAATTAAATAAGAATGGATAATATTATGTAAAATTACTTTGACAGCCTTCGAGCTTTAAAGATTTTTAAAGCACTTGTGATTCAGAAAAACCCTCGTACGCTCATAAAAGTGTCGAGTCACAAAATGTGTTTAGATCAGAAACGAACTAGATTGGTAACAAATTTACCACATATTTTTCAAACAAGTGCTTTGGAAAAAAAGTAATAATTCAATTTGTCAATTATTGCAGCCTATTATAATAATTCTTTTATTTTTAGATTGAAATTATTTTGAGACAAAGACAGAGTCTAACACTTCACCAATAAATCAAACCTATTGAAGGCATCCGCAATATGTCTTTATCCAAGTGCTATACCTCTACACCAGAAACAACAAACACTGCTCGATTGGCTAGGCTTATACTTGGTCCATGTACTGATGTGTTACGGGACATTCTAAAGACTGAAATGTTACCATCTGATTTGTCAAGAAAGGTAAAAGAATTTACAGACAAACTTTTACATGGACAAAGAAATCCTCTCAACAAAACACAATCCGAGATAATTTTCCCCAAACCGACAAATCAATACAGTGGTGATTATTCAGACTTAGACATATCTTTATTATATTTACTTCTACGCAATGTGTGTAAAATAGCACCTCATTCCAAAGGTTGGGGAGAGATTCCCAATCCCGGAGACAGAAGCGTGGCCGCCAACATTGAAAGAATTCGCCTCATTAGAAACCAGTATTACGGACATTCAGCTGACCTTTCTCTATCCGAGTCAGAATTTAGACAGGAATGGCGAAACATCCGGGATATTGTGGTGGAGCTAGAGCGACACGTAGGAGAAACCACGGTTTATCAGGATGCTGTCAACATGATAAAAACCTGCTCCATGGACCCAGAACAAGAGAAAAAATACATAGATTTACTTGGAGATATCAGAGAACTTCATATCACTGTGGATGATCTTTCGAGTAAGTAATTATGAACCCTCGCGTCCTTTGTGGTTTAATGATTCTTGCATCTTTTAACTCAGAATATCTTGACGGATTCTTTTGAAAGATTTTAGATATAAATTATAATAATTATTTAAAAACAAATATAGAGATTGATAATTATCAGATGCTCAATAATGAAAATTATATACATAAAAAACAATTGATTTATTTTATCCATTCCTTAATCTTTTTTTTTTCTTCAGGTAATATGCGGATTATGCAAAGAAATTTGGTGCTTCATGGTAAATATCTCATGATATGATGATCGTATAAATGGAATGATCACTACAGGAAATCCAGTATGCTACAGTATTATTTTTTATGAAATAAAATAGTATTTCTTATATTAAATGGCACATAAACAATGTGTAGTAATAAGATGTCATGAAATAGCAACATGCAACAACATTGCTTAGGTTTTTAAAAGGGCGTTAATCATTCCACTTGCACAATACATGTTTTAATTAAGCAAACTCACTGCCTTCGGTCCAATATAAATTTTCTGATGAATAAAGAATTATCAGTTTTTTTTTTCTGAGATATAACTTCTTTTATATATTGATTTCTTTTTGTAGATCCAAGACTTGCAAGAAAAATCGGTAAGATAATATTTAAAAAAAAATAGATATTTGGAAAATGGCTGGGTATTTCATATCTTAATATTCCATGTTAATATACCTCATATAAATAATCACAATTAAAGAGGAATCTGACTGGCTAAGGCAGTCACGTGGCCGTCGTGTTCGCCCTGCAACAAAACTTCGTGTTTCCCGCATTCGGTTCACCTCGGCTGACTACACTATCCTGCATCTAGATGTAGTACGCCGAGGTGTGCAGAACGTGTTTCACATCATGTTCCACAATTGTGACGCCACAATGCGGCAAATGCGATGATTAGTACTGCTCGAATTCGATTGTTTAATTCTTTCATTAATTATGTCGATATAAAATTGTAAAATATAAATAGTTAGAAAACTTGTATTTCCATGAGGAAGGATATGGAAATAACGAATTGTATTCAATCTCAATATACAAAATAAGAGCAGAGCAAACACGAACCTCCGAAACATCAGAAGTGGGATCAGGTGCCATGGAGGAGTGAGCATCCCCTGCCAACCGGTCACACCCGCTGTGTGCTCATTGTCATAATCAGGAAATAACGGAAAAACCCGTCGTCAATTCAGTGTATAAAAAATGGACAGACAATTGGTATGAAAAAGTCTGTAAGTATTTTGACTCAATGATAAATTGTATTTGCTGACAATGTCATTGTATCCACCATAGAACTTACGAAATGAAGACTTTAAACGTGAGTGAGGGATGAATGTTACTACACTGCAGTGTGTAAATCAGAATGACTTGCCACGTCAAGGACATTTTTACGAAACGCTAATGGTGTGACTTGCAACAGTTTCATATATAGTTTTCATCATTTATTTATTAGATTCTCTATATATTTCCCGCATTGTGCTTGATTCGGCATAATAAATAATTATTGCATGAATGTTTGCCCTCGGGGAATATGGTTTTTCACAGTCGAAGAAATCTTCATGTCTCCCTCTCTATCATGCAATAATTGTCTATTGTCTACTGGTAGAAAGAGACAACAGCATGCAGTATGTTTATGCATATTATGGAAAAATTCTTGGTCTTAATTAAAGGCATAAATAAGATTGAGTACGACATTGGAGCCTTAACGGCTTAAAGGAGGAAATTAACATCCGTTTCCTTTCATTCATATACTTATTTTTAATTGTGGAAGTTTTATTTCCTTATTTTTTATCATTTATTTATCATTGATCATTTATATCATTTCTGTGAAATTTATTATTGATAGATGATTGTAACACCAGCAAATTGATACGTAAATCATACCTGGAACTATTTACTGAATTTCGCATTAGTAAGATATGTTCTTTTAATTATCATTTTGCATGAAGCATATTTTGGCATATCTGTTGAGTAAAAAAGAAAAAAAATATTTAAAGAATTCTCTATATTATTAGGCTCAAGTGAGTTTTTCAGACCACATTTTGTCAGGCGTTCGTCTGTCTAGCTGTCCGTCATTAAACTTTTCACATTTTCATTGGGTGAAGAGGGGTCAAATTGTTTAAATGAAGAGCCATGTCCTATTACAGGGCGAGATAATTAAAATTTTCATTCCTAAAAAATCGTTTCAAGAACCACTCGGCAAGGAAAGATGAAACTTATGTGGAAACATCCTCAGGTAGTGAAAATTCAAGTTTATTCAAGTCATGACCCAGTTATTCGGCGGGGCCACAGCGGACGATCATAGGAATGCATAGGAAACATTTTTAAAAATCTTCTTGAGAAACATTCTTAAATTGTGTAGATTCATAAGTGTTCAAATCATGACCCCTGGGGGAAGGGCGGAGTCAATATGAACGATCACAATTTTGCATAGGAGTATAAAGGAAATAATCTTCTTAAGAACAACAAAAGCATGATTGGTCTTGTTTATGTGGAGCCATCCTTAGATACATATTTGTTATAATCATGACCGCCCACCCTCCCTATGGTGAGACCACAATAAAAGTTCAAACTGATAGGGGAAAAAAAGCTGCGGTTTTGTAACAAATTTGTAAGCGTCCTTAGTTAGAATCCATTCAAGTTTGCATAGTTTGTTCAAATCATTCCCCCCCACTCTTCTTTAGGTTCGAAACAACTTTGGCAATTACTAAATTGATATTTTTCCTAGACACAGTGCCCAGATGAGTGATGTGGGCCATGGGCCTTTTGTATACAATATTCTTCCTGTAGTGTAAAGTGATTTATTTATCTTTGAAGCTCAAACCCCTGGAGTACAAGCAACAAAACAATTATCCACTTTTCATTGAGCATCTGTTACCGTAAAATACTGCCTTCTTGCAAATATTTGATGTAAGTCTGCAGCAAACATTGCCGCAAGCTTGCGGCAATACAGCAAAAGAAAGCATGACTGTCTTTACAAAGCCTTGGTGTTTGCAGCAAATTGGCGGCAAGTCTGCAGCAAGCTTCCTGCAAACATTTTACCATGCAAATGAAGTTGGATTTTCAGAGATAGAAACCTTGCTGCAAGCTTGCGGCAAACATTACTGCAAGTTTGTGGCAAACTTTGCTGCTATCTTGCAGCAAAAAAATTTCCTTATTGTTTTGGCATACTCCTGTGTACAAGCAGCAAGTTCGCAGACAGCTGACCGAAATCTATTAAGTTTGTTTTTTTTCTGCAAACATGTTGGGTTCCTGCGAATTTGCTGCAAGCCTGCAGCAAATGCTGCAATGTTTGCCGCAAAATCACAGCTAGCGGCAATCAGCGAACAAGAAAACGATCTTCCTGCGAACAATTTTGTTTGCTCCAAGCTTTCACCCTACTAGCTGCAGGCCTGCAGCAAACAAATCAGTTTGGTAAGGGATATCAACGTGTATTATTATTTAAGTAAACAAATTCTGAAATCTTAGAGACATGAAGTCCATGTTTATTAAAGATAACTATAATTTCTTTTTTAGAAACAACTCGAAAAGATCAGAGAAAGAGATTCATTACTTTATTCATACAGGAAAACAAAACAGGAAGAACATTACAAAAACTACTGCAAAATTAGAAATGAGATACAGAGAGACGTTAAAGTTGCAAGGACAGAATACATATCTAGTAAAATCGAAGAAAACAAAAATAACCCGAAAAATCTATGGCAGAGCCTAAGAGACCTTGGTCTTAATAATAAACGTCAGGGCAGAAGGAATGTCTGCTTAAAAATTGATGATGATATTTGTCATGAACCTAAATCTGTTGCAAATCATTTTAATGATTTTTTTGTTAATATTGCAGCCTCACTGGTAAGCAAACTCCCTACTCCTTTAAATATGTTTAGTGTGGATAGTGAACGTTTTAAATCTTTTTATTCCAAAAATGATAATCTTTTTACTCTGAAAACAGTCAGTGAAAGTTTTGTATACAAAGAGCTTTTAAAATTGAACCCTTCTAAAAGTACGGGGCTTGATGATATTCCAGCTAGGTTCATTCGTGATGGAGCTGATTTTCTAAAGATTCCTATAACATATATTGTAAATTTATCAATTTCTTCTTCCGTTGTTCCTGAAGATATGAAAACAGCTAGGGTGAAACCTATTCACAAAAAGAACAGTTCACTAGAAGTAGGTAATTATAGACCGGTTAGTATTCTTAGTGTTGTTTCAAAAATTTTAGAAAGATCTGTTCATATGCAACTTTCAAAATTCTTAGATCGTAATAATATCTTATATGAGTTTCAATCTGGTTTTAGAAGTAAGTACTCCACTGAATCTTGTTTGATACATTTATTTGATTTTATAAGAGATAATACTGCAAAGGGATTATATACTGGAATGGTTATGCTTGATCTGCAAAAGGCATTTGACACTGTTGACCATGACATACTTTGTAAAAAACTAAAAGCAATTGGTGTTCAATCTGTTGATTGGTTTTTATCTTATTTGTCTGAAAGAAAACAGTTTGTTCACAGTAATGGAATTTCTTCAGATGCTGGTATTATCACTTGTGGTGTACCACAGGGCAGTATTCTAGGCCCTTTATTATTTTTAATTTATGTTAATGACATGGTTACTAGTGTTGACGCAGATTGTAAACTTATTTTATACGCTGATGACAGTGCCGTTTTATTTGCACATAAAGATCCTGATTTTATATCAGAAAAACTTGGTAAAGTTTTAGATCAGACTTCGCACTGGCTTGTTGATAATAAATTATCGTTACATCTAGGTAAAACTGAATGCATTTTATTTGGTTCCAAAAGAAAGCTTCAAAATGTTGAAAAGTTCCAGGTTGTATGTAATGACCATAAAATTGATTGTAAAGAAAAAGTTAAATATCTTGGAGTTTTGATCGACAAATGTTTAAGTGGTGAATACATTGTTGAATCGATTGTCCAGAAAGTAAATAATAGATTGCGATGTCTGTACAGACAAGCCCGGTTTTTAGATACTTTTTGTAAAATGACTGTGTGTTCAGCATTAATACAATGCCATATTGATTACGCCTGTAGTGCTTGGTATGCAGGGCTATCCAAAACTTTAAAGAAAAGGTTACAAATTTGTCAAAACAAGATGGTTCGTTTTATTTTGAATTGAGGTCCTCAGGCATCTGTTAATTACGAAATACTCAGTCAATTAAATTTATTAAACATTCAAGATAGAGTTTCTCAGCTTAGACTCAACCATGTTTTTAATATTTTTCAAGGAAAAGCCCCTTCTTATCTTAATGAACATTTTATACTTCGGTCAAATTTTAGTAGCTATCAAACTAGATCAGTCTCAAATGCAGATTTTGTCGTTCCAATAACTAAGCAAAAACAATCTGAATCATTTTATTTTAATGGAATCAAAGACTGGAACATGTTACCAGCACAAATTAAACCTGTTTTAAATACTGGAAACAATTTTGCTTTTAAAAGAAATGTCAAGAAATTTTTATTAGAAAGGGGAATTGCCCAGTGTAAAAGTCAAGTTGTGTTTTATTAGTTTTTATTATTAGTATAAGTTGTTCCAATTACAATCATGTGAATATTTGGTATACAGTCATAATACACTTCATTTTTAAGGATCTCTGTGTTGTCAACTTGATCCCATATCTTAGCTATAGTATTTTAATTTGATATTTATCTGCTTATATTATTTAACATCCAATTAATATACATGTTTGAGTATAAGGACCCCATTGGAAATAAGCCATTGGCTTTCATGGGTTATCCTTGGTATACAAATTTAATCTTATGTGAATCATATTTATAAACTCATGTCTTTCAAAAATGATTGATTCCGATATTTTTATATTAATTATATTGTTTAATGCCATCTTTTATATATTTATATCTTAAATTATATTGTCAATATTGTAACATATGTGTAGTATACCAAATAAATATCTATCTATCTAACTACGAAATTGATACAAAAACATTCGGAAACTGTTAGTCATCTATTTGTGAAAACTCGTGAGTTTGACAGAGCGAAGAAACTGTTGGACAAAAACGGATATGTCGTCATCAAGGGAAATCCCGGAACTGGAAAAACCATGATCGCCAAAATGTTAATGAAAGAATTGATGGAGGAAGGAAAATCTCCTCTTCAGCTTTACAAATTAACAGATTTGTATGAAAACATATCACCAGGTGATGGTATAGTGGTATTTATTGACAATTTATTTGGTGAGTTTTCTTTGTCCAGCGATGACGTTCAAGAATGTAAAGCTAGATCAGATATGATAAAGGTTTTAATTGAAAGTGACATTGATAATAAATCTAACAAATTGATATTTGCATTAAGAAATGATATATATCAGGAATGTATACAAAACGGGTGCGATGAGGATTTTTTCCAGTCGTCCTTGGTTGACCTATCAAGCAAGGAAAATGCATTGCTAAAGGAAGAGATTCTACAACTATCAGAAAATTATGAGCTATCTGAATACATAAAAGACAAAGAACTTATCAATAAGGTATATGAAATGCCACTAGCTATAGGGTTTCCACAATGTTGTAAATTGGCAAGAAGCAATGAAGATTTCAAACAAAATGTTTTTGCTTTTATACCAAATGCAATGATGTTTATGAGAGAACCACTTCAAAACATTATTGAAAAAACGAACTGTAAAATCTGCAGTTTTAGTTTATCTTCTTTTGAGTGGAGGAAAAGTAGAAGTCGAATTGATTGAAAATCCTCGACTGGATTTAGAGATGAAGCGCTACTCTTTAGAATTTGTAGGTCTACAAAACTGTTATATTAACGATTTCCAGGACAGTATTTTGTGTTTTGATGGCTTTTTAATAACTCATGACACGATAGAAAATACCTATAAATTTTCCCATAGTTCAGTACAGGAATCCCTTTTCAGTGTCTTGTTTAATTTTGATTCTGAAAAAATGATCCAAATGTGTTATCCGTCCCTACTTCTTACATTGACGACATGTAAAAACCCCAAAAGTACACAAGTCCTCATAGAACAACGATTGTTTAAATATGTTGCCCGCCGCATTTCAAATATAATTGGAGAAAGGTCTGTAAAAGGATATTCCTCCATATCATCACTGGAATTATGGAATGATTCACAGTTCCATGAGCACGTATTACAATCTGAAGAATGCACGTCTAAGTTTAAAACATGTCGTGATACCAACGGTGATTCAATGATTGTCCATTTTTCGAAGGTGGGAAATAAGCGATGGGCTATATGTTTACTTCTGAATTTAGAAAAAAGACAAAGATACAGATCAATCAACGCTGCTTGCTCCAAAAATCAACTCGATATTGTTAATCTCATTTTGTCATCAGATGTGGAATGTGATCTTCAAACGTGTTTTAATGCTGTACAAAGTGGAAATATAGACTTATTGCTCCGAGTTTGTGAGTTTGTTAATCTTCATCAAATTTCATCTTCCTTGCATCCTGTCTGGGGTTCCATAAGACATAGCTTACTTCAGGAAATCTGTTTTATGCAACAAACACAATTAATTGAACAGGTTTTATCAAAATATCCATTCCTTGTAGATATAAAAAATGATCAAGGTTCCAATGCATTACAATCTGCAGCAAGTTCTGGGGACAAACATGCATTTAATCTTCTATTAAAGTTTGGCTTTGATCCATATGAAAAAGATCGAGACAATGGACACACGGTTCTTACTTGTGCTTGTCAGGATGGTAGGACAGACATGGTCAAATACCTTATTGAGAAATATCCTGCATTACTCCAGGAACACACAGATTTTCAAGGAAAAAGTTTTTTGCATTGGGCAGCTTTCAGTGGGAAAATAGATATGTTTGAATATATGCTTAACCTCTTTGAGAATGAAAATATATTACTTATATCAAGTGACAATATACCAAATGAATATAAAACAGATAATACAGGTCAATCTATCCTGCACGCTGCATGTGAAAATGGTCATTATTATATGTGTGAATATTTGTTAAACAGATATCCTCATTTACTGAATGTTAGTGACAATAATGGTTACAATGTCCTCCATTACACAGCTGAAGGAGGCAACGTAGATCTTTTTAGGTTTCTGTCAAGTAAAGGATTAAATGTCAATTGTACAACAAATACTGGGAAGACTGTGTTACACATGTGTTGTGCTAAGGGTAGAGAGGAAATGTGTAGGTATCTTGTAAATATGTATCCAAGTTTAATATCAGTTAAAGACAATAAAGGATGGACAGTGTTACATTCAGCTTGCTGGGGAGGAAGTGTAGAAATTGTCTCTTTTCTTATAGAAAAAGGAATGGACATTAATACCTTGTCAAATGATGGTAAAAGTATCCTGCATAGAGCTTGTCTCAATGGGAAGTTTGAAGTTTGTGAGTACTTAGTAGAGAATTATCCCCATCTATTATATGTCAAAGACAAATCTAGTAATACAGTGTTGCATGACGCAGCCTGGGGAGGCAATGTTCAAATAGTAAAACTATTGATTGAGAAAAATATGGACATCAATGCCCTACAGGAAGATGGTGAAACAATTTTACATCAGTGCTGTCGTTCTGGTAAAAAAGAGATGTGTGAGTATTTGGTCAATCATTTTCCAGATTTACTGAGGATAAGGGACAATAAGGGATGGACAGTGTTACATTCAGCTTGTAGTGGAGGAAGTGTTGAAATTGTGTCTTTTCTACTAAAAAAAGGACTGAAATCAATGCCTTGTCAAATAATGGTAAAAGTATTCTGCATATAGCTTGTCTCAATGGGAAGTTTGAAGTTTGTGAGTACTTAGTTGAGAATTATCCCCATCTATTAGATGTCAAAGACAAATCTAGTAACTCAGTGTTGCATGATGCAGCCTGGGGAGGCAATGTTCAAATAGTAAAACTACTGATTGAGAAAAACATGGACATCTTTTCCAGACAGGAAGATGGTGAAACAATTTTACATAAATGTTGTCTATTTGGTCAAATAGAAATGTGTGAACATTTGGACAATCGTTTTCCAGATTTATTGGAGGTAAGGGACAATGACGAATGGACAGCGTTACATTCAGCTTGCAGGGGAGGAAGTGTTGAAATTGTTTCTTTTCTTATAGAAAAAGGGATGGATTTCAATGCCTTGTCAAATGATGGTAAAACTGTCTTGCATATAGCTTGTCTCAAAGGGAATTTTGAAGTTTGTGTGTACTTAGTTGAGAATTATCCCCATCTGTTAAATGTCAAAGACAAATCTAGTGAGACAGTGTTGCATGATGCATCTTGGGGAGGCAATGTTCAAATAGTAAAACTATTGATTGAAAAAAAGATGGACATCTATTCTGTACAGGGAGGTAGTGAAACAATTTTACATAAATGTTGTTGCTCGGGTAAAATGGAAATGTGTGATTATTTGGTCAAACATTTTTCAGGGTTATTGGAGTTAAGGGAGAATAGAGGATGGACAGCCATACATTCAGCTTGTAGGGGAGGAAGTGTAGAAATTGTTTCTTTTCTTACAGGAAAAGGGATGTATTTCAATGCTTTGTCAAATGATGGTAAAACTATCTTGCATATAGCTTGTGTCAGTGGGAAGTTTGAAGTTTGTGAATACCTAGTTGAGAATTATCCCGATCTATTAGATGTCAGGGACAAATCTGGTGACACAGTGTTGCATGCTGCCGCCCAGGGAGACAATTTTCAAATAGTAAAACTATTGATTGAGAAAAAGATGGACGTCAGTTTCCGACAAGAAGGTGGTGAAACAATTTTACATTTATGCTGTCGCTCTGGTAAAATGGACATGTGTGAATATTTGGTCAATCATTTTCCAGACTTACTGGAGATAAAGGACAATGACGGATGGACGGCATTACATTCAGCTTGCTGTGGGGGAAGTGTAGAAATTGTGGTTTTTCTGATAGAAAATGGATTGGACATCAATGCTTTGTCAAATGATGGTAAAAGTATTCTGCATATAGCTTGTCTCACTGGGAAGTTTGAAATTTGTGAGTTTTTAGTTGAGATCTTTCCCCATTTATTAGATTTAGGGGACAGTTGTGGTAACTCAGTGTTGTATGATGCAGCTATGGGAGGCAATGTTCAAATAGTTAAACTATTAGTTGAGAAAAATATGGACATCAATAGCCTACTGGACGATTGTGAATCAATATTACATCAATGCCGTCGTTCTGGTAAAATTGAGATGTGTGAATATTTGGTCGATCATTTTTCAGATTTATTGCTGATAAGGGATTATGGTTGGACAGAATAGCAACCAGCTTGCAAAAAATGAATATAAGACTTTTTTTTTCAATTTGCCATGGGGCAAACTTCAGTTCCTGGTGAAATGGTGTTGAAATTGTAAATTGCTTGTCTGAATGATATACATGATGTTTGTTGATATTATTAAAAAGAACACTCACATTTTATAGACATCAAGGATGATCAAGTTAAATCATTTTAATACATTACGTCTTGGCATGAAGACAGTTATGATTCATTTGTTCAGAAAACTGAATTTTCATCTATTGCTAATGATTATGAAAGAAATACCGAGGGACATTCTTCAAGAACGCGTTTCCTAAAAAATAAATAGATAAAAAAGGTTTAGAAATGTTTCAGTCACATTGTATATGGGTCGTTTTCTTTCCTCATGCATTCTGTAAAAAGAAAAAAAAAACATAATGTGTATATTGTAGATATGAAAATTTATGAAACAAATGTTGAGAATCTTTCGTAGAGATCTTATGTGGAAAACATGGTAAACATGTAAGTGGATTCTATACTCTCCCCATGCTTGTATAAGAAAAGAAATATTTATTTGTAAGAGACGAAAATAGCGAAAAGTGATTACTTTTTCAATGCAATACACAAAACACATCAGGATCAAGAACATGGACCCCTGAAATCACAAGCTTAACTAGATGCATAATTGATGATAAATGCAAGATAATCCTGAATTATGGTAATATTTCATGTCACTTTTTCATGCTGTTTTACTTTTACGGTCTTTTTATATTATATCTATCTTTTCATAGTTTATGTACATTTTTTACTGTTAAGATGGATGTTAATGAATTACATTAATTGGTTTACTTCTTTACTGAAATTAAATAAATTATGCAAAGATACTTGCATTTATCACTATGTTCAATTTTTGAGTGAGTTTCATGATGCTTTAATTTTTTCCTGTTAATAGTATGGTTAAAATTTATATAGTAGAAATTCACAATTTGTAGTGACAAAAAGATCGTAGAATCCGTTAACAACTAAAGTACTTGTTCTATATTCAAATTGAAAGTGGAATGTGTGTTGTCCCTTTTTTTATCACCTGAGCCGAAGGCTCAAAGCTTTTCTGATCAATTTTGTTGTCCGAACATCTAGCTGTTGTCTCAAATGTGGAATGTGTGTTGTAAACTTAAACATTTTTGACTTCTTCTGTTACTAGGCCAATGGTTTTAGTACAAATATTGGGTGAAGGGCAATTTAAATTGTTAAAATGAAGGGACATATTTCATAATCAAGAAAAGACAAAAATAGGGTTGGGTCATTAAAGAATCTTCTTATCAAGAACCACTGGGCCAGTTAAGCTGAAACTTATGTGGAAGCATCATGGGGTAGTGTAGATTCTAAATTGTTTTATATAGAAAAATATAGAACAAATCTTTAAAAATCTTCTTCTCAAGAACCACTAGGCCAGAAAAGCTGAAACTTATGTGGAAGCATCCTTGTAGATATATTGTAAAAATCAAAGGGCGGGGCTACAATATGGAATATAAGTTTTACATAGATATTTGGGAAAAATATTTTAGGAATCTTCCTCTCAAAAACCACATTTTTTATCCTTGGGTAGTTAGAATTTTAAATCTGAAAGGGGAGGTGATAGGTATTGCTAGAGGGGAAATCAGGTAAAGAACTTCATCACCCAAGTTACTCAAGTGAGCGATGTGGCCCATGAGCCTCTTGCTTTTTTTATAATGGTTTTATATGAAATATACACTAGAACGACTATCTATTTTTACTTCATTCTTTTTATTTTTTTGATTTCCATGTTTTTTTTTCAGGCTTTATTTTCTTTTTATAATTATAGACTTTTTTAATTGGAACAATTGTAACATAATACTCTCAACAAAGATTTGATTTTTGATATAAAATCTGTACATGTATCATAAACTATCACTGAAATACTGAAATGAAATATATTATTATGAAAAGGCGATGTTTTTTGTTACAAATGAAAACATCATGCATATTAAATACATAATAAATATATTATTATGAAAAGGCTTTGATTTTTTTGTTACAAATTAAAACATCATGCATGTCGATCTTTCTTGTCATGCATAGATTTAGATATTGTTTTACAGGCAGGCAAAAGAAAAACAATATCAGATTTTTAAAGTATAGAGTCAGACAGTGGATTCATTTTGGTAAATTTAATGTCAGTACACCTTCAACTCTGCTCAGTCGCTAATTTTTAACGATTTTCCTCCCGATTCTGGATCTGGGTCTTTCATTGATTAAAGGAATAACTGTCTTATTTTTCAATTCCATGATGTGATCAATCAATTGGCTTGCGTGATAATTTAAATAAACGCCGAAGGCCTTAATGCATAAAATAATCACACAAGCTAATCGATTGATCATCGTTATGAAACTGAAAAAAAAATCTGACAGTTATTCCTTAAATTTACATGCTCTAATTCCGCCAATCCACGTGATTCGAGCCCTACTTCTATCTTGCTGTTTGTCCCGCCTTGCACAGGGTATTTTTTGGAACCGCGCCAATACATTGATGGGGGAAATAAAGTACATTTACAATTTGTAATTTTATCTTGGACAAAGACATTGGAAATGTAAATATTTTACAGCAACACCTAACTCATAAAAATAAAACTGTCTTTAAGATTTTGGAAATTGAAAAGCTAAATTCATATGGTTTGTCACAATTTGTTTTGTTGACCTTTATCCGCTGCCAGAATGTTTTTTCGTTTAAATTCTAAACATCCGGTAAGATGCCATAAGGTAATATTTTTGAAGAAGCTTACTCAGGGCCCAATTCCATGGCAGTAGCTTTTTTCCAGATGTCAGTGTATACAAATTGTAAAAGATAACAAACAATGAAAGCTGAGAATAATTACATATATTATGCATAAAATTAGTTCATTTGAACTTTCAAATAAAGGAATACGAAATTTCATTCTATAAGCTATAGTATGAATTCAAAGTATAGGAAGTACATTACCGTGAAGTCATTCTGATGTCTTGACAGGAAGTAAAGTAGTAATCCTGATCATCGATATTCAATTGTTGAGCCATTGTTTATATTTTTCAATACTCAAAATAATTGAGATATTTTACGCTATCAGAAATAATACAGAATGTATTTTAAATTCAAAATACATTTACGTATATTAAACTTGTTAATAAGTTTTGCAAGTTGCTTTTTCCTCTGACAGATTTAAGCACATTACTGTCTTTATCCGAATATTGTTGTTTCCAGTCGAAAACATTTTACTTAAGATTAGTTATAGATTACTTATAGGTTACTTTTAGGCAGTTGTATGTCAGAAGATTATTTGTAGGCGTACATATATAAATCAGAAGATTACTCAAAGTCGATTGTATGTCAGAGGATTACTTATAAGCCAGTGTATTTCAGATTTCCAGCCTACCCACTTATATATATATTTCATGCATCAATAGAGAAAGCAAACAGACATTATTTTACATATAACTCATAGCAAACCTTTGCATTCATTACAAGTTATCTTCACATTTTGGATCCGCACACATTTTAGTTATCTTAAACAGACTGTAAAATCAAATATTTTCAAGTGGTAAAATTCTGGTGTTTTTTAGGAATTTTTCTTGGTTCGTGGGGATTAGATTGTTTTGGATAAAAAATTAATGAATACTTATTAGTGAAAAAAATGATACATTTTGTGGTGGACATGAATTTGTGGGTCTCCTCATAGCAACAAAAATTATCCCCCACGAAAAATTGTGATTTCACAGAATATACCGCCAACAAACGTGAGTTCTTTTTAGCATAGACACCTCCTATACACGTGATAACTTTTAACATAAGCACCAAAGAAACATGAGATAACCTTTAACATAAAAACCGCCTACACACGTGATTACCTTTAACATAAGCACCGTCTACATACGTGATTACCTTTAACATGAACACCGCCTACACACGTGATTACCTTTAACAAAAGCACTGTCTACACACGTGATTACCCTTAACATAAACAACACCTACACACGTGATTACCTTTAACATGAACACCGTCTACACACGTGATTACATTTAACATAAACACCGCTACACACGTGATTATCTTTAACAAAAACACCACCTACACACGTCATTACCTTTAACAAAAACACCGCCTACACACGTCATTACCTTTAACATAAAGACCGCCAACACACATGATTATCTTTAACATAAACACCGCCTACACACATGATTACCTTTAACATAAACACCGCCTACACACGTGATTACCTTTAACATAAACACCGTCTACACACGTGATTACCTCTAACATAAACACCACCTACACACGTGATCACCTTTAACATAAACACCGCCTACACATGTGATTACCTTTAACATAAACACCACCTACACACGTGATTACTTTTAACATAAACACCGCCTACACACGTGATTACCTCTAACATAAACACCGTCTACAGTGAGGATCGTCATATTTGATACAAGATGGCTGACAGTCATGTCTCATTGGAGGGCAGTACGCTACAATGTAAAACAAAATAAAACAAACAAAGAGGACAATACGCTACAATGTAAAACACATAAAACAAAGAGGAAAATACGCTACAATATAAACCAAAGTAAAACAAAGAGGACAATGCGCTGCAATGTAAAAAGAAATCAAAGATAATTATGCATTCAGTGTAACAAGTTAATTAATGATCATTTATGATGTAGATATAGGGTCCTCTTGTTTTTATCAAAGAACTATATGCGGTATATTGCATATACTTGCCCCCACAAAAGTCAAATTTTGAAAACTTCCTGAAATGTGCTGAATTCAATATATTGTATGAGAAATATAAATTAACAGAACATATTATAGTTTCAAAGCAGTTTATTCACAATTTTTGCTTTTATGACGTCACAAACTAGTCCGATTTTATATCCTTTTTCAGAAAGAGGACAAAATGGACAAAATTTCAACAATTTTAGCTTTAAAATTTAGAGAGCGCAAGTTTGTTCAGGAACAATATTTA